TTGAACATCCTTGATGCCATTTGATCTTTTAGTTCCTGAAAAAATAACGTATTCGAAGAACTTGCTGCTCCGATACCAATTGTTAGACAAATGTGCAACTCTAGAGGGGGGGTGAATAGAGTTGTTTTCAAGAATGTGCGTTTTTCGCGTGTGTGAAATAATAAAACCGCAGGAATAAATAAAGAGAGTAAGGGAAAGAAGAACACCGAGATTTATACTGGTTCACCACCTCGTGGCTAGTCCAGTCCTCCGAGAGACTCTCTCGAAAGTCCTACTAATCTTCAAGCTTCAAGGGGTACTTGAAAAACCGGTACAACTTGAGAACTTGAATCACACAAGCCTCACTTTCTTACAACAACAAGACTTGAGTCACACAAGTCTTAGGAACAACACTCAAATGAGATTGAGTTTACAACACAAGAATGAAAGCTCACACAATTGAGCAAAGTAGTGTTGAAGAATTAAAGCTCTATGGATGACAACTTCTTAAGCACTCAAAAAAAAATTTCTAACTCTCAAAAAATAATATTTTGATGAGGAAGATGAAGCAAAGGATGAATATAGCTCAAAGAATATTTTGGAGTGCAAGAGATGTGTTTTGAAATAAAAGAGAATGAGGCATTAAATAGGCCGAGGAAAATAAAGTCGTTGGAGAACGCTGATGATATGCACCAGACAGAATTAATCGATTAATTTAGGAATTTTAATCGTTTAAAGTGTACAGAAGCGAAAAGGCTTGAATGCAAAGGTGGAATTAATCCATTAAAAAAGAGAGAAAAATCGATTATCCTGCTCTGTTTAAACTAATCGATTAAATGGACAAATTTAATCGATTAAGTCTATTGGCCTGAGAAATCTAGCGCTGAGAAATTGGATCTAATCGATTATTTTAGATAAATTAATCGATTAAAGTGAAAAATAATGCGCAAACATGAATGGCCTAAGCCAAGTGCCATTGGAAGCCTTTGGCTTCTAACTCGTTGTTTGGGACAACGGGAATATCAACGGACGCTCCTCATATTCAATGAATTTGAGTAGGGAGAGAAAAAGAGTCCAAAAATTATTTTGTGTGTCAAACGATGTACACAAAAAATATTTAAATTATATTTTTCTTACCAAAAAAAATTGTGTAATCTTAAAAAAAATGTTCTAAAGAAATTTTGACACACTTATTTTGAAACTGGCTCACTAAAATATTTTAGACAGAGGAAAAGGTAATTTTTCAACTGACTCAAAAATAATTATTTTTATCCCTCAGAAATTAATTCGTTTGTTCAGAAAATATTGTCATCCTTACAAAGGTTCCTAGACTTAAAAAAATCTTCGGAGTCTTCATTTTACTTCAAAAAAAATCTGCGTAGGGGTGATCGTTGATTTTTATCGCCGTAAACTTCTTGATACCCTTCTTTGCTTTTCTCGATACGAAAATAAATTTTCGATCAGCTTGAAATTAATCATCCTGTTTGTCATTCATCAAAACAAAAAATATTCCAGAAGAAATAGTAAAGGGGTTTGAACTCATGTCCAACATGGATTACTATTCAAACATATAGTTTGAATATTTCAAGGACCACTAAACAAAATCGTAGTGTTAATAGTCGGTTTACAACTAAAACAAACAGTTGTTTAAAATATGACCAAAGTAGTAGTCTCAATTTGTACATACAACACAAAATAACCGTTGTTTGATGAAAATATTTGTAGTGGTCTTCCGAGCAGCTGTCTGATAATCAATTACACTACTGTTCAAAAATATAGTTTGAATATTTCAAGGACAACTGTAAAAAAGCGTAGTGTTATTGCGCAATATACAATTGAAAGAAACGGTTGTTTAACATAAAACAAAATTAGTAGTCTATGTTTTAGAAATATAACACAATATAACAGTTGTCTGATATTATTTTTGTCTAGTAGTCTTCCGAGCAGCAGTCTGATATATCTTTCAACTACTCTTGAAATTAGATATCTATATTTTTGACCGACAACACTAAAGAATAGGACTCTGAAGTCGAAAACAACAGTAGTATATATTATAGATAGACAACAAAAAATCACAGTTGTCTTTAACTCTAGAAAACAGATGTCTTACTCATACGAGGACAACTTCAAAAACATGTACTCTAAAAGATCACAAAATAGGTGTTGTCAACCATACTACACAATTGTTTTTAACCAGTAGTCTGTAAATATATCAGACAGCTGCTCGGAAGACTACTAAAACCAACACAGTTAGACAACTAAAAGAAACAGTTGTCAGCATCTGTTTTTGACGTAGTGAGTAGTTGATATAGAGTCTCATTGATTCGTGTATGAACAAAATAGGTATTCTCCCAAAGAGGAAACACATGATCAGATGATTCTTTGTTAGGAAGTGATTGATGGAAACACGTTCAATACATAGTTACGAATATTGGTTCTTTCTGGGATCAAGATTGACAGAGAATTCAATTTCTCGGAACGATGAGATATTACGAAATTCATATAAGAGAGGTGACATACCATTGGTACGTTTCTTCAGCTCAGATCTTTCTTTCGCGTATCACAAGAATAGACTTCATGCTTCTTATGGCTAAGGCATTTTTTCGGCATATATATTTGAGATGAACTTGGTCAGTTTAGAAATCAGATTTGCTTTCACCTCTATGAGGTCTACCATCATCGGTCTTCAGTTTAAGGAATTCGTCATCACAAGTTGTCAACAGTAACGGAGTTTAACCGGTCCATGCATACTAAGGATAATGTGAATTTCCCTGTATGGTATTTCAACGAGGTTTTGTAGAGAATTGTTGTTTAATGAACTATTTTGATTCAAAAGATATAATCGCATATTTGTAAAGAGTTAGACAACAGAACGAGATACTTTACATAACAGAGTTTATTGATTCAACACGTTCGTGTTTGGATCACTGATCAAATCGTCCTGAGTCTGCATGAGGATCTTTGATATCAACTTCAAAAATGCTGTTCAAAATAAATCGTTTCTTCAGAGTCATCTCACTTCCATGCAACTTTGCGATGCAATTTAGTTTCGTCGTTTGCGATGCGATGCGTTCGTATCACAGGGTCATATATTTTTCGTTTATTCTTTCGTTTCTTCACCGAATACAAAAATTTGACTTGAGTCTATGCTCGATATACTTTCATTACTAACAATTGTTATCGAATGAGAATTTTAACAAGTCAATATTTACTAAGTAAATTTTCTTACCTTTCCTGGAGCTGAGATGAAGTGGATGCGGACACACAATTTTGAAAACAATTTAGTCAAATGGTCCGAAATCCGATTTTAAAACCATTTGCTCTGATACCAAATTGTAACACCTTAATCCGTCTAGGTCTGCAGCCCCTTTTGGACTAAAGTATTAACTTGGCAACGTAAAAATTTCAAACATTTCAAATATTACAACAGTGTGGTCACTATGTGATAAAATCATTTAGTTAAATAGTAGATTTGTGCACGTCCATGTGTTATATCTAAGCTCAGGGTTTTATAGTCTCAGACTCTTTATTTGCAGGAAAGGGAGATAATCGATTGTCCTAAGTGGATAATCGATTATTGAAGGCTTCAGGTTCTGGGTAGTTTTCTGGGGATCCTCTGAGAAGGGAGACAATCGATTGATGGGGGAGTGACAATCGATTATTGAGAATTACAGGTTTCTGGGAAAAGCTAATAATCGATTGTCCTAAGTGGATAATCGATTATTGAAGGCTTCAGGTTCTGGGTAGTTTTCTGGGAATCCTCTGAGAAGGGAGATAATCGATTGATGGGGGAGTGACAATCGATTATTGTGAGTTGCAGGTTTCTGGGAAAAGCTGATAATCGATTATCTGAAAGTGATAATCGACTATTGAAGACTGCAGATGTTTTACGAAGGATAGATAATCGACTTCTACTACCGATAATCGATTATTGGACAGCTCGAGACAGAAAAAGAGGTGTTTCTTTGGGAAGGGGAACAAGCCAAGTTGGTGTTAAGGGATGTTACTCACCCTTATCTTAACTTGAGGTTGAATCTAGCATTCAAATAAGATATAACACACTTATTTAAATAACTGAAACCTAAAACTCACACTCAAGAGAACCACTCTTAAGATATAGGATTAGGAATTTGGAATGAAACACACAAGTGAATCACTTTGATTAAAAGGGGAATACAATGTGTTTCTACACCCAGGCCTGTTGCTGAATATATAGGATTACATTGGAGGTAATGAGGGAAAATACAACTCACTCAAAATAATGCCCATGTGCTTATGTTTCTTAAGTGGAATGAAATCAGGGATATGGGTTGTTTGGTGGGGTTTTGGGCTGTTTCTGAGTTGCAGGAAATGTTGGGGGGAAGGAGGGATGAATGTGGGGAGGGCTGAGGTTGAGGGCCAAGGAGTGGGGGTAAGATGAAGTGGTACATTTGGCTGGGTATTTGTGGAGGTTTTGGGGGAATTTGAATTTGGTCAGGGTTGGGAGACAAAGGGGTGTGTGTGGGGTGTGTCATTTGGAGTTTTGTTGTAGGTTTGTTGTGGGGATTGGATGTATTATTGTGAAGGAAAATATCCCTGGGCAT